GTGACACCCCTCAATAGCAAAGAAGCGGGTGCTTCAAGTGTCTCGGGTACTTCAAAGTAGAGTTACAAGTAGGGTAACTATGGTTATAACTTTATTTAGAGTACTTAATTATAACTTATAACCCTACTTGAAAATAACCATGAGCCAGTTTAGGCTTTAGTTCTTCCTCCTCTTTTAAAACTGGAATCGCCCCGTAGCAGGATGTTCCTTTGGGGATTACACACCCTTCCCCCCTCCCAAAATGTTTAAAGCCCCGCACCTCGACAACGTTAAGCTGGATCATGGATTTCTGGGGCTTGAGAACAAGCCGTAAACCCGAGAACGCACAGGTCTTGGGGGGTTTAGGGCTGAGGGTTGAGGGCTTAGGGGAACCCACAGGTCTGGGGGGCTTAGGCATCCTCAACGCCACACCTCAACCGCCAACCCGTGAACAGTTTTGGGCCGATGGGTTCGCTGCACGGCCAGACTAATGGCAACCGCCCTGTCGCCTAGGTGTTGGGGTTTAGGGTTGAGGGTTGAGGGTTGAGGGTTTAGGGTTCCGTGCGCATCAACTTCGCCATCCTCGTAACGGTCGTCGCTGGTGGACGTCGGGGTTCGCAAAATGCGCAGCTGCCTCTCTTGGAGCTCGACAGTCGACTTTTGTAGTCGACTTTGTGGTGCAATCGTAGTACGCGGAGGACGTCTGGAGCTCCAGTGGCATCAAAGTCGCTCTTTCCTGACCCCTGAAGCTCTTCGTGTCTCCATGTAGTCTCTCACCGTTTGGGGTCTACGCTGGCCCAGTGTTATCTTGACCCCCGGGCCTGAAGCCATGTGCCCAAAGTCCGTTCTGAGGCTTGGGGGTATAGGTCTGCCTTCTTACAGACCTACTTGGAGGTTCATGGGTAGGGCTACAAGTACTCTGCATAAGGTGATAACCATAGTTACCCTACTTATAACCCTACTTATAAGCACCCATGAACCTCCAAGTAGGACCCTGAAGCCCAAAAACCATGTAAAGCCCGAAACCCAGACACCTCCGGAACTCCGAAGCGCGGCCAGAGTGGCGCATCCGGGATGATGTCGGCAAACTGCTTCGCGAGGGCATCGCCCTGTTCAAGAAACCCCAAACCCTTTTTTGAAACCCTAAACCCTAAACCCTAAACGAGTACAGCAGAGATGGCCTCTTGAATCGAGATGGGAAGACTTTAGATAGTGTACTTGGAGGTTCATGGGTACTTTATAAGCAGTGTTGTCAGTAGGGCAACTCTTATTCAGGGTACTTATCACCCTACTTGCAAGTACCCCTGAACCTCCAACCCTACTTATACGCACCGGAATGAACCTCCAAGTAACCCTAAACCCCAAACCCTAAACCCGACACCCCGCAAAGAACCTGTCCTCCCGACATCAGCCCCAAAAGGATGTGTTGTCCACACATCTCCACAAGGACGAGGGTTTGAAGTTTTGGGGGTTATGGTCTGTGCTTTGGGCGACGCCTTCCCCCAAGTTTGGGGCTCGATACAACCCATTAAGCCCCAACGGGGACACCCGAAGCCTGGAGTAGTTGTTTTGTTTATGTTGCTATGAGAATATGCCTATATTTATATTGTAATACAGTACTCTATTGCAATACTGCTGTATTTCTCTACTACTATATTTCTTTATGGTAGAATATTCTTATATTATTAGACTAACACATTGTTCTGGTACTCTATCATCATATGGGAGCTTACGACAATAGGGGACCCCTAAATAGACCCCCAAATAGTAGGACTCGCGTATCATGCGGACCCCAGTAAGGTACCCCTTATAACGCAAATCCTAAACCCTAAACCCTAAACCCTAAATCCCCAAATTTTTCCATGTGCCTGGATCTTTTGGATCTCAAGATGGTGTGCCACCTGCACCGTGCGCTGCTGGCAACACGCGAGCTGGTCACGCCGACCCTTCTATGGGGGTTTAGGGTTTAGGGTTTAGGGTTTAGGGTTTCGGGTTTAGGGTGCTGGGCAGACCCTGTATACCCGACACTTTGCAACCCGAATCAGAAGCCTTCGCCCCTACTTGGAGGTTCTTGGGTACATAAGTAGGGCAGCCATGGTCATCACTGTTTTTTCGGGCACTTACATACCCTTCTTACCCTTAACCCTAATACCAATGAAGCTCCAAGTGAACTGTAGGGTCGAGGGTGGACTCGTCGCCTGACACTACACATGCAGTTGGTTTAGGGTTTAGGGTTTAGGGTTTAGGGTTTAGGGTTGACATCGCCCGGCTAGACGACCAGGGGCTGATCTAGAAGATTCGCTGACGCACGTAGCAGACATAGCCACAGCCACCGCAACCTTTCGCCAAGAACCCTTCTTGGCAGCAACAGACCAGGAATGCTTCCTGAGGCGCCGCGAAAAGCCCAAGAAATACTGGCAGAGTGGCATCCCCAACCCTGAGCCTAAAGAACGCGGTGAGCTGACAGTGTTGCCTTCACGACGATGTCCTTCCCCGACACCGTTGGCGACACCCAGGCCTCATCTGGACCTGCCAGCAAATCCCTGAACCCGACCTACTTCGTAACCCAACAGGAAGGAGACAAACGAAACTAGGGGCCTGTTTGGGGGTCCCTTTCAGGGGGGGATTCTATTCTATCTGGGGTATCAACGGGGTAGCCCCATTTTGGAAACACCCGTGTGCAACAGTCTAGAACGGTCGCTTTGCCAGTGAAGGGTGTGGGATGACACGCATGCGCATTCCTCGTTTTCATGGTTCCGGCGCGATGAGGACCATGCCGCTCCCTAAGCCCGAGCGTGGTTTAGGGTTTAGGGTTTAAGGTTTAGGGTTTAGGGTGTGCCCTGAAAGCCAGACATGGGTTTCGGGTTTCGGGTTCAGGGACACCTTAACCCTTAAAGGCTGGCGTGGGGTTGATGCCTTCGAGGTTAAGGTTTACAAAAACTCGCCTGGGGCCACGGCCAATCCCCTTGAGCCTCTTCACGCGGAGCCTGCTGCCGCTCTTGTTGGCCTCGAGCTCCTGGCTTAGGGCTTCGGGCGTTTAGGGTTTAGGGCTCGATAAACCCTAAACCCTAAACCCTAAACCCAAACCCTAAACCCTAAACCCTAAACCCTAGGGATTGTGTATATCCAGCCCGACGCGCGTGATCTGCACCCGCAATGTGGAAAGAAGGGTTGATGACCAGTTCGCTTCCGCGGCCGGAATACTGTCCCTATATGAAGTAGGGTATATATTTCTTGTACCCCCAAAAGGACACCCGGTATATACACTCACCAATACTAAAAAGGAACCTTATATGAGCGACTGCCAAAACCGGCTGGTGGTGCTAATGGACGCAACATGAGGGGTGTCGCTTGGGAGCTTTCCCATCGTTTTACAGGGTTTTAGCATCAATCATCCACGCTTGATGTCTGCAGGTGTCGCTTTGGGAAAAAACCAAGGCTGTGGCACACCCAACGGCTCATTAACGTAGGGGTGTCGCTTTTCAAGTGTTCTCATCGTTTTACAGGGTTTGGGGCATGCGTGTCCACCCCTGACTTACTTGAATGGCTGGGGGTTTTGGCGCTTGCTCATATACACTTACCAAAAACAGAAGTATAAACCCTGCTTCATATCAGAACCAACCCTCAAATCCGCTGTCCTCAAGGATTGCAAACTCCTGCGCAGGCGAGTTAGGGGCTCTGAACGGTTTAGAGCTTTAAGGGCTCAGGAACCCTAAACCCTAAACCCTAAACCCTAAACCCTAAACCCTGCTTCGGATTTGCCAGCTCTGACGGTGCTTTGCATGTCTACGCTTTAAGCGTGAGCTGGAAGGTGCCTGGGTGGGGTTAGGAGGTTCAGGGCACTTATAACCCCAATTAGAACTTTACTTATAAGCCCCCTAAGTCTCCTAAGTCCTGTAAGGCTATAAGCAGACTTATAATTGGGGTCCTGAGTACCCTGAGCCCCCAAGTAGCTTCTTTCCTTCTGAGCCCACCTAGGCCCTAAACCCTAAACCCTAAACCCTAAACCCTAAACCCTAAACCCTAAACCCTAAACCCTGAACACTAAACCCTAAACTCTAAACCCTAAACCCGAAACCCGAAACCCTAAACCCTAAACCTAAGCCCTAAACCCTAAACCCTAAACCCTAAGTACCCATGCACCAAGTTCGTCTTGGGTCGACCAGACCAGGCTGTGGGTTTCCTAGAACACAAAGGGTACTTGGGGTACTTAGGGTAGTTAGGGCATTTAGGGTATTTAGGGTACTTAGGGTACTTAGGGTACTTAGGGTATTTAGGGTACGTAGGGTATTTAGGGTGTTTAGGGTATTAGGGTATTTAGGGTATTTAGGGCATGTAGGGCATGTAGGGTATTTGGGGTTTAGGGCTTGGGGCTTTGAACCTTTGGGGCCTCCATCGCATGCTTCTTGCGTGCATCCTACAGCCAGCTCGAGGGCTCTGAAGCCCTCAGCCTAAACCCTAAACCCTAAACCCTAAACCCTAAACCCTAAACCCTAAACCCTAAACCCTAAACCCTAAAGCTTTCCTACCCCAAAATCACAGCACTTCCCCAGTCCTTGTAGCGTCCGCACTCCTCAGACTTCAGAGCCTGGCACACGCACGTATGTGCATCTGCAGCTGAGGGTGCAGGGTTCGGTTTAGGGTTTGGGGTTTGGGGTTTGGGTTTAGGGTTTAGGGTTTAGGGGTTAGGGTTTAGGGTTTAGGGTTTAGGGTTTATCGGGAAAGATCCTCAGGGGGTGAGCTTAAGGCTTTAGGGTTTCTGGTTTCGGGCTGAGGGTGTAGGGCTTAGGGTTTACAATGTCCTGTTGGGGTTTTATATAAACAAGGAAGCAAAGAGTTTATGATTGATATATTCTGATTATTCCTTTTTTTTTTGGGGGGGGGGGGTAAGGTAGTTCTTAAGGTATTGGATTTCTGGATTTGGCGTTTGGCTGGAGGGCTTTCAGGATTTCAGGCTATTTCGGATGCTTCAAGATGAAGCCCGGGGGAGTTTAAAAGAAGGACGATTTCCGGCTTCGTGCCTCCCCTTTCCTGGCGAGGCAGCCCTGTGCGGACTTGACCCACCTGGCACAGCTGCAGAAAGCCTAAACCCTAAACCCTGAAACCGGCCTAAGCCGGCCTAAACCCCCTACACCCTAGACTTTCCTCAACCCTAAACCCCTACACCCTAAGCCCCTGAACCGCAAGTGTGAGAAGGGGGTACTGTAGCTGGCGGCAGCTGCAAGCCGTGTGGGGATTCGTGTGGCTTCTTCTTTCGGAAAATACACCTGCCATGGTTCTGCTCATGTTCTATACTGGGACAGGCTAGGTCTGTTGAGCTTGTTCACTAACGCCCTCCTTCCAAACGCAGATGCCAGTCATGTAGCAATGCACACGCAGGGCAGGAAAACTTGTGCCGGCAGGTACCAGAGCTTCTTCTTGCCAAACAAGTCCACCATCTTGCCGTATTTGTCGACCTGACCCGACGTGTACTCCTGCGCGGCACGTCCCCACCATGCACAGCCTTCGCTCTCACCGGTCTTCAAGATATGCTTGAAGCTTACGTGAGTACATGATTGTATGTTTGACTTGTCCTTACAACAAATCATTTCTTTTTCTAGTGTTCTGTTAAGTTCGATTCTTCTATTTTTCCATTACTCCAGTATTCGCTTCTTCTACTATTCCACTCGTCCCCTGCTCCAATAGTATATTGTTATGTTCGTCAAAGTATGTTGGTTATTGTATCTTCTGAACATATGAACACAATCACACAATAATACTCGCTTATGAAAAGCCCACGTAGTACATACGACAATATGAGAGTAGTATAATGGCCTGCTGTGTATTTTGTCATCTTCTTATTACAAGACTCCAATATCACATCACTAGTGTAGTCTCATATTTTTTGTTCAATTCTGATATTACATGCTCCTATTATCAAAATGGCATATTCAGAGGTTGTTGCTTTGCTATAGTATTTACATAGCACGTTCTGGTACCACTCTGACCTTATCTTATATTTTAACATTGTCACAGTATGCTAAGTCAGACCTTCACAGTGGCCACTAGGGACTCTTCTGGAGAGGCTTGCTCTAGGGGGTCCTACCTTGGACCCTTAAGGTTGTACCCTTGGGTTTGGGGGTCCCTTTTTCAGGATCCTTCAGGGAGTATAAGGGCCACACTAGGAGTATATTAAGGGGAACCTTTAGGGGTACAACCTCAGGGGTACGAGTCTTAAACCCTAAACCCTAAACCCTAACCCCTAACCCCTAAACCCTAACCCCTAAGCCCTAAACCCTAAACCCTTGGGTACGAGCCTTCATTTTAACTTGACTGACGTGTGGTCTGTTCCCTCACCTTTGGGCCAAGCTGGGTCCTGAAGCGGCTTGTACTTGTCCGCAAGGTCCATGTTCCACTTGGCCATTAACTGAGCCAGGGTACCCTCATTCCTAAACCCTAAACCCTAAACCCTAAACCCTAAACCCTAAACCCTAAACCCTAGACTTTTCTATCCTGAACTCCTAAACTTGGGGCTCAAGGCATCCCAAGGCCTAGGTGGCACCTTCTTGGGAAGGCCGATGCGCAAACATCATGGCGGGTTTAGGGTTTAGGGTTTAGGGTGTCAACTTGCTTGCATGCGGACCCCTGGAATCCCAGAGACTCCAATACCCCTTAACTAGGGAATACTCCTTAAACCATCATAGGGTTCCTTGTTTTGGTTTGTAGTATTCCTGAATGACGGGGTATTGGAGTCTCTGGGGTGTTCGGTTTGTCGGGGCAGCCTCAAGAATCAGGGACCTGGTCTTTGCAAGCGGGTTTTGGCCTTTGCAGTGAACAAGATACGACATGTTGCTCTCGGTTGTCAAGAGAAGCCGTTGCAGTGGAGACGTTGAGCTTGTTGAAAGCCCTGAACCCTAAACCCTAAATCCTAAAACCCTAAACCCTGAAACAAAGCTATGACCACAGCAAGGAAAGTGATCAGGCTGCCCGCGCCACGCAATGAGCTTCTTAGGGTATCTTGCCCAGTGGTTTAAAGGCCGGTGTGCTTGTTTCAGAGAAGCCCTAAACCCTCCCTTTCAAACCCTTCACCCCTTAACCCTCTTGACTCCTAAGCCCCTAAACCCTCAACCCTGATAGAACCCTCAACCCTACTTGAAGGTTCATGGTACTTATTATCTAGTTAGAACTCTACTTATAGGTTCATGGTACTTATTAACTAGTTATAACTCTACTTATAACCCCAAATTCTAACCATATGGGCACCAAGCCGTCAAGGCTCCACACTCGGGCCTTGCTGGGGTCGGGGAGTTTCTTCTGCTTCTCCCACGCATCGATGCACCTTCGGCCGAGTTCCGGTTTATGGTTTAGGGTTTAGGGGTTTAGGGTTTAGGGTTCCGCATTAAGCTCGTGTTCGAGCCCCCCCCCCCCCCCCCCCCCCCCCCCCCCCGCTCCCCCCTAACTGGCTCCTCATAGGGAAGCTCCCGGAAAAAAGTGGCGGCTACAGTAGGACCCCATTCCGACGTTCGCCCGCTGTATGCGACCCAGGTGGTAGCCCAGTGACCATATCATACAGAAGAAGGGTACCCATGCTGTATAAGGACGCCTAGAACCAGAACCAGGGAAAAACAGTACCACTGGGCTACTCAGACCCTAAGCCCCAGCACTTTGGAGTTTCATAGGCCCCGAATCTTGGAGATTTGAAAGTTCCCCTACACTCCGTTGGTACTTAGGGGTTCGACGCAAGGACCGCCTTTTCATGCCTATTCTCCTCAAAGGTTTGAGGGCGGGCCCCTTTTTCGATATGCGAGGTTTCGGGTTCAGAGCTGCGGGTTCTCCTTACCCCCACCCCCGGCCCTCCCCCAGCAAGCAAAAAAAGACGACACACCCGCACGGTTGAAACCCCGAAGCACCACTAACCCCTGAAACTCTGAACACTAAACCCTAAACCCTGAATCCTGAATCCTAAACCCTAAACCCTCCAGGGCCCCAAAACCTCCTGAAGCCCGGCCTCTTGTACAGCGCCTCTTGCTTTTTTCTCCATTCGCCACTCTCCACCTTCGCAGGGTCTCATGGCATGAGTTTAGCGGCACAGGTTTCGGGGCACCCGTTTATCCCTAAGCCCTGAGCCCTAAGCCCTAAGCCCCCAGCCCTAAGCCCTAAGCCCTAAGCCCTAAACCCTAGACCCTAAACAAGCCTCAACCCTGTACCCTTTGCTTGGGGATGTAAGAGGTCCTTTTTTAGGGATTTTTTTTCTCTGGGGCTTTGAGCCTTGGTGAACTGATGGCGAATCTAAGCATACAAAGACTTCGTCGAGCCTTCAAGCCCTGACCGAAGCCCTTCCTTATGAGCCCCTTCATCATGAGACACAACATGCTTGACATTCCTGTGCCGCCTTGCATTTTGGGTTTCGTCGGGTAGATACACGGTCCCTTGATACGGGTCTTTCATCGGGGAACCCTTATACACCCCTTGGACCCTGTAAAACCCAAGGACCCAGACTTCAGAACCCTTTGAATAACTTCTCTTAAAGGGTTGGAAAAGCCCAGAGACCCATGTTGCCTCCTTCATGAAGCCCTCCAGGAACTTGACCGTCTCTCCGACGCCATCTTCCTTCCACACCCCCTCATATTCCTTATAAGCCGAAAGGGCCCATACTGCCCTTCTTAAGAAAGGTAAGGGACCACATATTAGGGACCATGTAGCTTCCACCTAGGGTTTAGGTTTTGGGTTTAGGGTTTAGGGTTTAGGGTTTAGGGTATACTTAAAAAAGGTAAGGGGCCACATGAAGGGACCATGCAAACACCGCAACTCCGGTGCCTCAAATGAGAGAGTTCTTGGCTGCACTCAGAAGGGTAGCTGTAAATTAAATTTTTAGCTGCCTTATTATTATTATTATGATTATTATTCTTATTCTTCTTGTTATTATTATTAGAAAACCCAATAAACCCAAAAAGTCTAAGGATCTAAAGTTACAGTAAAGCACCACAAAGAGTTGAACTCTGCTACTTGGCAGTGGGGACCGAGTGCAACCGAGAGCTGGTGGCACGGGGAACAGTTCAAGCCCTAAGCTTACGCATCCTTAACCGGGATTGCTACACTTCAAGGGATTCTATACCCTAAACCCTAAACCCTAAACCCTGAACCCTAAACCCTAAACCCTAAACCCTAAACCCTCACAGAAACCCACAAAACCCGACCCTCTGGGTCCTTGTCCATGACCTCCTTCAGCTTTGCGCAGTTCTGCTGGATCGTCGGATCCTGGGGTGCTCAAGCCTATGGGTTTAGGGTTTAGGGTTTAGGGTTTAGGGTTTCGGGTTTAGGGTTTAGCCACCCTCAACATCCACCTGAGCAACCTCAGCCCCTGACTCCTAACAGCGAACACAACTCATCCCTGAATCTCTTTAGTCGCTAAACCCCAGACCCGCTGTGAATGTGGAATCCTTGCAGGCCTTCCGGCGTGCCAGTTACCTACTTTTCTTCGGCACTTTGCGAAGCTGTTTCTTCTCTACTTCAACACGCTCCTGCTGCTCCTGGTGTACCTGTTGTGCTCCAACCCCTATGACTACGACGACGAGGATGGCGACGAACACCGCCGCCACCGCTCCTCCTGATCCTCCTGTTGCTCTGCGCTTGGCTGCCAGCACGCTCACTGCCACTGGAGGCGGGTTCCTGGAACTACAAACCCTCAACCCTAGAGGAAAAAACAACCCAAACATCCCCAGCCTGCCGTCGGAACTCTTAGCCTCAGGCCCGAAACCCCCAAACCCCTAAACCCTTAAACCCCAAAAACCCTAAACCCCTAAAACCCCTAACCCCTAAACCCCTAAACCCCTAACCCCTAAACCCCGAAACCCCCAAAACCCCAAGCCCAAAAGTCCATTGTCCGAGGCCAGGGCATCGCAACATTTGCGGATCTTTGCCTTAGCGGATCGGACCGGAGAGGTCTGTGGGAGACGGGCTTCCTAAACTCTCCAAGCATAATGCGGAAACTGTAGCTCTTTTACTTCTATCTTCAGCTTAGTACTATTATGTGGGGCTCTTTGCAAGACTTATATTGTACGCCCCACGCATAATTATAAAGAGCACGAACGAGACATGTGAGGGAATGAACGGGCCTATTCAAAACATAATAAATAAAGGCCGTCTAATTTCATTCACTTTTGTATCTATTGTTAGGTGCAACATATGAATGAAGTTTATGAGCGAACTAAATCCGCGAATTCACGTAATTCATGCGTGTTACACACGAAAAAAACTGACAATATCATATTGTAGTTAGTGCGGCCCTTTAAGTCCATCACATGTCACCCTAGTTTCCTAAACCCTAGGTTTAGGGTTTAGGGTTTAAGGGTTAAGGGTTAAGGGTTAAGGGTTTAGGGTTTAGGGTTTAGGGTTCCTAGACCCTGAACCCGGCTTTCATGGCTTCAGGGTGGGGTTGAGGGTTTAATGTTTGGGGTTTGCATCACTCCCGCACAAGACCAGAGTGCCTTTGGTTTCCAAAGATATGTATATCGAGAGAAACAGAGAGAGGGCTGACAACCCCTGTGTTGAGCAACATGCTAGGCGGGGTCCTCTATTGACCGCGTATCCTGACTTTGGCTTAAGCCCCTTTACGCGAAGCCGGCATGCCGGTCCAAGCCGAAGCTGAACTGGTGGAGGGCTTAGGGTTTAGGGACTCATCTGCGCTCTTTGAAGGCTTGCTCGGGACTTACAAGGTTCATGGGTACGTATAAAGGAGGGTGTTAAGTAGGGTCACTATGGGCATCAGCTGCTTACAAACCTACTTACAAGTGCCGAGGAAGCTCCAAGCAGGGTCCTTCTTTCGTCCCTCGGAGCAAGACTCAGGCTGCTTTAGGCCTTAAGCTCTTAAGCTCCAAACTTCGTAGCCTGAGACCCCTGAACCCCCAAGCCCCTAAACCCAAGCAAATCCTCCATTTTAAGCCCTAGGCCCTAAGCCCTAAAACCTTTTTGAAGCCGGTGCTTGCCGAATGCCGGAGCAACCGCTCTCAGGACATGCGTGAGAGAACGAAGCCCTGAAACCCAAACCCCAAACCCCAAACCCCAAACCCCAAACCCTAAACCCAAACCCCAAACCCCAAACCCTAAACCCTAAACCCAAACCCCAATCCCTAAACCCTAAACCCCAAACCCCAAACCCCAATCCCTAAACCCTCAACCCTAAACCCTAAACCCTAAACCCCAAACCCTAAATTTTCAGGTGTTGGCACCCCCAGCTCCGCGGCCGTGAGTTGGGAGAGATGCACCGTGCCGAGCCCCGTCCTGGGTTGCAGAGGGCGGCTTCGGCTGTAGGGTAGGGTTTAGGGTTTAGGGTTTAGGGTTTAGGGTTTAGGGTTTAGGGTTTAGGGTTTAGGGTTTAGGGTTTAGGGTTTAGGGTTTAGGGTTCAGGGTTTAGGGTTTAGGGTTTAGGGTTTAGAGTACCCTAAACCCTAAACCCCAAACCCTAAACCCTTGAACCTGGAAACTGCTTCATGCCAAAGCCCGAAACCCTAAACTCGAAACTGCAGAAGATGGGCTCTCTCCGGGTTCAGGGTTGGGATGTTTCCCCTTATACTAACAGTCCTTCGAAGCACCCCCGATTATCATCCCTATATGAACTGTTAGTACAAGGGGGAACATCCGAAGTTCAGGGTCCGATAAACCTCGTGACCGGACTCATTGGGCCGGCTATTGAGTGCCTGCTACCCAAAACCCTACGCAAAAAGGCCCAAAATGCCGTCCGTCTAGCGATTCTGCCCTTCTTGGTATCCGCCCGTCTGAAGGGGAGGAGGTAAGCGCAAGGGCTTGTGTTACCCATGGCTTGGGTCGGGGGTACACCCTCCGCAACAAACTGGCGGGCTCGGCCCCGGGCTTATCTTCCGTCAGCTTCACTGCAATGTCTTTCTGTTGCAGGGAGATCAGATCAGTGCTTCGAAGAAAGCAAGGAGGTCCCTCTCCGAACTGCTGCAATACTTTCTTCACCAAGGTAGACCTAGAACGTTCAGTATCTCGCTTTCATGAAGCCTACGAAAAAACTTATGTTCAGGATCCCTACTCGGAGGTTTAGGGTACTTAGAACCCCAAATATCTCTGTACTTATAAGCCCCCCTAAACCCTAAACCCCATGAACCTCCAAGGGTACAGCTTGAAGCGTATTCCTCATTCAGGGACATTGGGTTCCTAGGCGGATCACCTGCCAGAAACAGAAATGAAACATCTTTGAAGCCCAAAGGCTCGGGATATGATATGACGTAAGGGGTTTAGGGTTGAGGGTTCAGGGTTTAGGGTTCAGGGCCTGCTCCATGAGAATTGGTGTTTTTGGCAGCTTGCAGAGCTCCCATACATTAGGTTACGAGAGCCCCTAAGGACCCCATTATGAAGTTGGAGGTTCAGTTCAGGGTTGAGGGTTTAGGGTTCAGGGTTTAAGGTTTAGGGTTTAGGGTTCAGGGTTCAGGGTTTAGGGTTCAGGGTTTAGGGTACTTATAACCGCAATAGAACAGCTGTACTTTGCAAGTCCTCTACGATTATACATAGACTCATAATTGGGTTTATCAGTACGCATGAACCTCCAATTCGGGACAGACCAGGCAACGCATTCTGTGTGGATAAAAAAGCGCGCCGTGTTGGTACTTCTTCTGTGCCCTGTACCGGCCTGATCTGCAAAGACAGGGGTGACGATCGTAGGCACACCTGCGGACAGTGAGGCCTGCCAGTCATCAAAGCCAAAGCAACTTTTGTGCCCTAAACCCTAAACCCTAAACCCTAAACCCTAAACCCTAAACCCTAGACCCTAAACCCTAAACCCTAAACCCTAAACCCTAAGGCTGTTCAGGAACTCAGCTCCTAGACCCAGGAGTAACCGAGGAAGAAGAAGGGTGCCCTTTCTGGTTTAAAAGGGGGGATATACGGGGTTTAGGGTTTAGGGTTTAGGGTGTAGGGTTTAGGGCTGGTAAAATGGAAGAAGGGCCTACTCTACTTTAAGCTGCCATAAAGTTGAACTTGCACTGTGCATTGTGTGCCCATGTTGTGATTGTATGTCCATATTGTGGTAAGATAGTTGGTGGTTTCCGACATTAGGGGTACCTTCTTGGGGCCCTTACTCTAAGGGAATCCTACTATTTGGGAATCTATTTCACGGGCCCCTTATCATCGTAAACCCAAATTGAGTGCCTCCAGCAACCCTAAACCCTAAGCCCTAAACCCTCAACCCTCAACCCTAAACCCTAAACCCTAAACCCTAAACCCACTGACTTCATGGGTCCTGCAGACCTTCTGCCTGTTTCCCCACTGTCACAGTCATTCATAGTCACATCCGGGTGAGACATCCTCCACTTTGCACAAGCCTAAACTACCCTTCTCTGGCACCCTCAGCAACCTAGACCCCAAACCCCAAACCCCAAACCCTAGACCCTAAACCTGAAACCCCAACCCTAAACCTTTATTATTGTTTTCAGTATTTGCTTAGCCTAAACCCCAAACCCTGAACCCTAAATCTTAAATCCTTAACCCCAAGCTTTCCCCATCTTTCCCCGAAGCACTTCGGGGTGCTGCTGCTGCTGCGGCAAGCGTGCCTGTGTTGTGCCGATGCCGCCATGATGCACGCAACCTGGGTCGAAGTGCCAGAGTCACTTGGAGGTTCATGAGTATGTATATCCCCAATTGTCAGTCTACATATAACCTGCTTAGAGGACTTAGGGTGCTTGTAAGTGCAGTTCTTGCAAGTGCCCTGAACCTCCAAGTAGGGTTGAGGGTTTACTGTCCGCCAAGCATTTACTACTATTTGCTTAAGAACCCCCCAAAACAATAAAGGATAATAATAATCCCCATATTGCCCGTATAAGGAAGAATATTCATATATGTTGTTGTGGGAATCTTAAACAAAAACTAGTTTAGGGGTTTAGGGGGTTGGTTTTAGGGTTTAAATCTGTTGAAGACAGCTGGGCAATTTGCTGGCAGTGGATGTGTAGCCTAAGAAAGGATTCGGCCCTCTTCAAACTGGACTTGCCCCTAAACCAACACCCCTAAACCCACGGTTCAGGGTTTAGGGTTTGTTTGGGGTTTAGGGTTTGGGGTTTAGGGCTTCGGGAGCCTCACTCAACCCTAGGCCCTAACAGCCTCAACAGCGTAGGCTGTGGCATTGGGTGTCCGACAGGCGCACTGCGGGAAGAGCCACTCGTGAGGCGCGGACTGCGGCCAGAATCGGCGGCATTATAGGGCTTAGGATTAGAGTTGAGGGTTGAGGGTTTAGGGTTCAGACTTGGATGTTCCCCCTTATACTAACAGTCCTTAATGGGATTATAAGCGCGGGGGTACTGTGATCCCTATTTCGGACTGTTAGTAGAAAGGGGAACATCCCGAATCGTGTCTATTGCAAACCCTGAACCCTAAACCTACGTGGGCTCTGGTCTTATAGGGTTTAGGGTTTAGGGTTTAGGGTTTAGGGTTTAGGGTTTAGGGTTTAGGGTTTAGGGTTTAGGGTTTACGAACCAGGGCCTTGATGCTCCTTTGGATTTTCCGTTTGCCTGCCCCACACCACCCCGAAAGCAGGGAGCCCCAGAAAAAGAAACCTAAACCCTCAACCCGCAAACCATAAGCCCACCCTGTAAACCCCTAAACCCTCTAAACCCTAAACCCTATTGCCATAAACCCTAAACCCTTAGCCACCCTAAACCACTAAACCACTCTGAGCGGATGAAAACGGTGGCTCTGGAGGCGTTTCAAGACTCGAAGGGCGGGCCCAATCGCCGCTGTATGGTTCTTAGGCGCGTTGAGGGATGGTTGGGTTCAAGTCTCTTGCGGGTTCGTGTAATAGCGCCTAGTAAGACCCGACAACCTAATAAAGGTAGGTCACTCTTGGGGAGCAGAATGCGATTCCCGAAAGAAGGGCTTTGGCTTCCGACGGGTCTTTGCGGGTTCCCAAGAGCTGCAAACTTGTAGAACCAGGTGATCGTTGTAGTTTGGAAGCTTGGGCCTCCAAAACAAGGTTTCCGTATGACGGCCCACCTTTTCGAAGATTCTTGGTTCTCTAGGTGCGGTTTAGGGGTGCGAGTCCACCAGTGTCACCAATCTATGACCATCATGTGACGAACATGGGGCCCCTATTAAACCCTAAACCCTAAACCTACTCCAAAATGTTTCAGGTCAGGTGGCTTCATTTCCACCACAGCTTCTTCAGACCGATCCTAAGACACCCGGACGTGGGGTTACGGGTTGGGATGTTCCCCCTTACACTAACAGTCCTGAATCGGGATTACAATTAGGGGCGGGTACTGCAATCCATTAAGGACTGTCAGTAGAAGGGGGAACATCCCAAGTTATAGGGTTCAGTGGAGGTTGGTCGCGGGTTGCGATTGTTTGCGAAGGCGGCTTGCCTTCAGGAACAGCACGTTCTCGCGGCTGTATGCCTGCAAAACTTGGCTGCACTCAGAAGGGTAGCTCTAACTTAAAATTTTAGCTGCCATTCTAAGAAGCCCAATAAACCCAAAAAGGCTAAGGATCTAAAGTTACAGTAAAGCACCACAAGGTTAGGGCCTTTCAAAAGTCTGCAGCTGGGAATGTTTTCGTGTCTCGTGGGCTCGCAGAAGGGCAGGAGAGGCTTGCGACGGTCTCCGTGTTCAGGCTGGCTTGACGCCGTAGTTTCAGAAACCCTAAACCCTAAACCCTAAACCCTGAACCCTGAACCCTAAACCCTAAACCCTAAACCCTAAACCCTAAACCCTAAACCCCTAAACCCTACACCCCACAAGATCGGGGCAAGGCACTCTCCCGAAGCCAAAACTCCAAGCCTTACACCCAACAGGCCCGTCTCAGTCAACAAGCTCGCTGCCTTCAGCTCTTCGTACTCGTCCCCACCCAAGGACCTCGTCCGGTTTTGGCTGCCAAAGAGGCCCGATAGCTATATATATATATAAACACATGTATATATATATATATAGATAATGGAGTTATTTGTTTATTTGTCTGTTTGCGTACATTTGCTCGTTGTTTTCATTCATTTTGAAACTGCGTATTTCGGTGGAAGCTGCAACCGATTCAGACAAGCGCCCCGCGGCCACAAGCCGAAAATGCCCCCCTTCCCCCCGCCCAACCTCTCAATCCCGGCTCAGCCGCGTGCCCTGCCCAAGACGTATGTGCATATATATATATATGTATGTATGTATGTATGTATATATATATATAGTAATTCAAATGAATGCAAACAACGAGCAATTGTACGCAAACAAACAAATAAACAAAATAACTCCGTTATATATATATATATATACATGTGTTTATATATATATATACACATACATACGGATACTACATAACGATGTACAGACGGATAGATATATCACTGTCTCTTTACATACTTTCTTCTGTGTCTGCATTCGTAGGCCCTTGGTATCCGCCCAGCCGCATGGACAATCGAAAAGCCCCTCTCATTCCAAATACCCCCCAAGTGACTTGGTTCACTAAACCCTAAACCCTAAACCCCAAACCCCAAACCCCAAACCCCAAACCCCAAACCCTAAAGGCTCAGAGCCCTTCAAGAGCCCCTATTAAAGTCGACCCCTCGTGCTTTCAGGGAACCAACACCACGGGCTCGCTACCTCGATCAGCACGCAGATATCCCTAAACCCGAAACCCTCAGCAGGGGCCGAAACTCGGCGGAGAGCTCAGCCCAACCTGGTGGAGAGA